CGATGCTGGAGATAGCATAAATTATGCATTAAGTCACGCATATACATATGACTCCGTGAAGTCAGTGCTGCGAAAAGACATATCCTGGTTTAAAATCTAAAGCACCGAATCCGTTAAGATTCGATGGAAATCTCGATAGAAAATATTAATCTGAAATGCTGGTACACTTTTTTGAAGTGACTTATTTGTCAGTTTTCATTTTATATAACGATAAAGATTTAAACGTCGACTCGTTAAGATTCGATGAAAATCTAAATAAAAATATTATCTAAATTTAAATAGAAATAGAAATTTATTTTTAAAATTTAATTATAAACACATATTTCGTATAACAACAAAGCATTTTGTTATTTTAAGTTATATATTTTTAGATTACATATTAAATTATATACACTAAGAAAAAATGTAAAAATCGCATATTGATTATGCGTATTACATTTGTATTTCCATTACAAATCATGCGATTTTATACACTTCTTTGCGTAAAAAAAATGCAAAAATAATGAAAAAAAGAAGTATGCAAAAATACATTTACAATAATAGCTGTAAGAATCACACGAAGTGTATACATTTACATAAATCGCGCGTGATTTTTATTATTATTTACATAATTGTATATTTTTTGTAATATTTTTTGTAAGAAACTGTCTTACTCACGATGCTCGTTTTGCATACGAGACCGTGAAGTCGTTTTACACGAAATCTCGCGAAGTTTTGCATCTCTAATTATCTAGCGATCGCTTCGTTTGGCATTTGTAATCTCTGAAAACGCATATCATACGGTCTCACGGGCGGCGTTTCCGCGATCAAATCGCGTTTCTGCCGCGCGTAACCCAACGCGGAACGCAAATTGCTCCGAACATGGAAGCGCGCGGATTTCACGCGCGGAGGGTGGAGGGAATACACGCGCGCTCGTGCACCGTCGCGTCCCGCACCATGCCCATTACGTAAAGCGACCAAGTGGCCGCGTATACGGTGTCACCTTGCTGTCCGCGCGCGACGACGACGACGACGACGATGACGACGATGACGACCCACGCACGGTACCGCTACGCAAACGCTACGCAGATATCGCGCGAGGCGTGCATACGGGATGTCGCACTTTCTCGCGATCGCGAACGCCTCGGATTCCGGGTCGATCTTTCCGCCGCGTCCTTGCCTGGAATCTCTGTCGACTTAAAAGTGTTTGGACGTTGTCACATATCGGAGCGATAACGAGCATCGAATCCGTGCAAAGAGCGAAGAGCTTACGAAGAATAAAAAGAGAGCGCGAAGATTTGATGAAATTTTTTGGGAAAGATTTTGCAAAATGCGGATGTACAAGCATTAGATCTCCTCTCTCTCTCTCTC